CGCCCTTCTCCCCTCGGTCTCCTGCAGAGAGAGGAGGGTCAGCACAGGCTCGAGGACAGGACAGGCTCATGCCAGACCCCGTCAGCCAGAGGGCTCGCCTGTCCCCCCCTCCTGGGGCTGAGAGAGCCCAGGGCGGAGACAGGTCATGGGGCAAGGGAGCCGGGTCTCCTTTCTGTGCCGGGTCAGTGCTGGGCTGGGGTAGGGATCCGCGGTGTGCACCCTGGGTGCTCTGGACAAAGACCCAGACCCAGACCCAGGCCCTGGGTGAGGGAGCACCATGTTGGGGGCAGAGATAGGGTTAGGGTTAGCGTTAGGGACAAGGTTAGAGTGAGGGTAAGGGAATATGGATAGTTTAGGGATAAGGATAGGGTTAGGGTTAGGCTTAGGCTTAGGCTTAGGTTTAGGGATAAGGATAGTGTGAGGGTTAGAATTAGTGATAAGGATAGGGTTAGGGTTACAGATAAGGATCAGTATATGGATAATGTTAGGGTTATGTTACCGTTAGGGTTAGGGATAAAATCAGGGTTAGAGTTAGGGGTAATAATCGGGTCAGTGTTTGGGATGAGGATAGGATTATGGTTGCCGTTAGGTTATGGTTAGGAATTTTCCCATGTGACACCCAGGAAGTGCCCCTCCTCTCTCCCTGCCCCCGAGGGTTTGGGGGACTTGCCCGGGCTCTCCAGGCTCCTTGCTGAGTTACCTTTGGGCCCGGGGGGTCCCGCATTCCCACGGACTCCAGATGGGCCTGGTTCTCCTGCAAATTCAAACATGTCAGTGAGCAAACTCTGGGACCGTGGCCCTTCAGGCCTCCAGGTTAGATCCTCTGGAACCAGAGGGAGGGGACCCGGACCCCAGCCCTCCTAGTCCCCGCTGTCCAGTCAGAGGCCAGGACCTGCGACCAGGGGCCTTCCCAGGGGACCAGGCCCGAGACCAGCTCTGCAATCATCCGGGGACCCTGGGCATTTCCATTGGCTGTGACTGCCGGGCCCGCTGTGGTCGCCCCCGGAGGCAGGCCCCCCGGGCTCAGCTGGGACCAGGGAAGGAAGGGAGGAAAGTCCAGCCGGGTCCCCCCCAGCAGGTGTGTCATCACCAGGAGCCATGCTGGCCACCCACACAGGCCCGGCTGCTCCGTGGGTGACCCAAGACCAGCTCCCTCCCACGGGGGCCCACACCCCAGTGGACCAAGCCCCAGGTCCCTCCTGAGACCTGCTGGGGGCCCTGCCTTGTCGGGTCTCCCTGGGCAGGGATGAGGCCCAGTCCCCCTTCCCCTGGGCACTCACCTCTCCTGCCATCGGCGCCTGCCTCTCCATTGGGCCCCTGGGCCCCGGGCAGCCCCGGGCAGCCCCGGAGGATGGTGAGCTTGTCAGCCTCCAGCCCCAGCACCTTCACGTCTGCAGAGAAGCAGGGGTGCCCCTCAGGGTGAGGACCTGGGCCGCTGTTCCCACCCCGAGGGACCTGCCACCCTGGGGACCCGGCCTGGCAGATGGCTGTGCCCGGGTCGCCTGCCTCAGCTGGAGGGACAGCCTGGAGGGGAGGCGGTCCCGCCTCTGCTGAGCCTGTGGTCGGTCCTCCCCCAGGTGGTGGGCCCGGCCTCGGGGTCCACCTGTCCCCGGGGAACCCCGCTCCTCAGGCTGTGTCCTCGGGGAGTCACTCAGCCCCTCTGGGCTCTGTGCCCGGCTGCAGAGTGAGAGCAGAAGGAGGCTTTGGGGGGTCAGAGTGGCCGATGCAAATGTGTGAGACCTTAGGAAGAGCTCCCCCCACTGCGGCCCGTCCAGTGAGTGCAGCCTCCGCATCTGTGAGACAGCGGGGGGCGGGGGCAGTGCCGCGTGTCACCCCCATTCCTCGGGCACGTGGCCTGGGAATCCCGGGCTGGAGGGAGGACCTGCGACCAGGGGCCTTCCCAGGGGACCAGGCCCGAGACCAGCTCTGCAATCATCCGGGGACCCTGGGCATTTCCATTGGCTGTGACTGCCGGGCCCGCTGTGGTCGCCCCCGGAGGCAGGCCCCCCGGGCTCAGCTGGGACCAGGGAAGGAAGGGAGGAAAGTCCAGCCGGGTCCCCCCCAGCAGGTGTGTCATCACCAGGAGCCATGCTGGCCACCCACACAGGCCCGGCTGCTCCGTGGGTGACCCAAGACCAGCTCCCTCCCACGGGGGCCCACACCCCAGTGGACCAAGCCCCAGGTCCCTCCTGAGACCTGCTGGGGGCCCTGCCTTGTCGGGTCTCCCTGGGCAGGGATGAGGCCCAGTCCCCCTTCCCCTGGGCACTCACCTCTCCTGCCATCGGCGCCTGCCTCTCCATTGGGCCCCTGGGCCCCGGGCAGCCCCGGGCAGCCCCGGAGGATGGTGAGCTTGTCAGCCTCCAGCCCCAGCACCTTCACGTCTGCAGAGAAGCAGGGGTGCCCCTCAGGGTGAGGACCTGGGCCGCTGTTCCCACCCCGAGGGACCTGCCACCCTGGGGACCCGGCCTGGCAGATGGCTGTGCCCGGGTCGCCTGCCTCAGCTGGAGGGCCAGCCTGGAGGGGAGGCGGTCCCGCCTCTGCTGAGCCTGTGGTCGGTCCTCTCTCAGGCCTGGCCTTAGGGTCCACCTGCCACCGGGTATTTCCCGGGCTGGAGGGTGCGGAGGGTGGGGATCCCTGTGATCCAAGGACACACAGCAGCCCCCCCAGAACTGTAGCCAGAGAGGCACCTGCCTCTCAGAGTTCAAGTGTGTCCATCACAAATACGCGGCCTCTAGGGAGGGTGTGGGGACCCAGAAACCCGCCGCCTTTCGGGGTCCCCTTGGGGTCACATGGTCCGCGGGCCTCTCCTCTGCAGGTCCTCCCTGGGCGGAGCCAATGGGGACCTCACTTCTGCATTCGCTTAATTTCTGCTCATTAACAACAGGGCACCTGGGGGTGGGGACAATGAGAGGCCCTGGTGGAGCCTGGCCGGTCAGAGGGCCATACAGGTCGCTGAGACTGTGAGCGGATCGCCATCAGGGCGCGAGCAACGGGAACAGCAAATCCACGTCTCTCCCTCCCTCTCTCTCTGGCAAATGAATAAATTGTAAAAGATCCTTTTGTTTTAAATAAAGAAAATAGGACGCCATGAGGGGAGAAAATGGACTCAGCGTGACGTTCCCCGTGAGGCCCGAGTGTCCTTCCTCCCGACTCAGCGGCCTTTCTCCCGTCACAGGGGGACATGCTCTCTCCCACGTCCTCACAGGCCGCACTGCAGGCCCCGGGGCCCTGGGAGGCAGCACCTGGTCTGGGGTCCCAGCCCCGCCCACAGGCTGATACTCTGGAGGGAGGGGTGGAGCCCCCTGGAGAGCTCCTGGGCCAGGGAAGGAGGTCAGGCCCGTGGGGACCCTGGGACCCTGGCCCTCTTGCTGTGCCACATCGGGGAGCATTGGGGCCGCCTGTCCCCCGAGGCTCAAGGCCCCCAGCACTGGGTGCGACCTTGCACTGACCCGGGCTGGGGGAGGGGCGCTCTCCAGCCTCCCCCCCTCACACCACCTGTGCCCCTCGTGGGAGGACCCCGAGGCAGGTGCCCCTGCAGAGGGTCGTTAAGCCTTAGTCTGAAGAAGAATGTTCTGGAAGGACCCGGCAGGGGGCAGGCAGTGTTCTGTGTGGAGGCCCTGGGCTCTGGGACCTTGGTCAGGCCGGCCAGCCTGGCGCCTGGCTCACCTGGACAGTTGTCGGCCGTGGCGGCTGCAGTGCCCAGGAGGGCGAGGGCCAGGACCACGGTTCCCATGGCAGCGGCTGCTCTGGTTGGTGGCATCCCGGGTCCCGCTGCCAAGGCGCTGGCACCTTTTATTGCTGCGTGAGCCCCGCCTCCGCTCTAGTTCCCTCCTGGCCAGGCCACCTCCTCCCCAGCCCCAGGGGACGGTCCCCCCACCACGCCCTCAGCCCTCCCTCTGCAGTGGCCCCCCTTCTCCTCAGTGGGACCAGATGCTCCGCGAGGGGAGGGCTGTGTGGGGAGGGTCTGCGTGTGTCTTTATTATTTTTAT